AGCAGGGCAATGAATGCATCATCAGTAAATGCATGCGAGGGCCACTGATAGTCTGCCAGATGGGGGGAGATTTGCTGCTGTTTATCAGAAATCCTGGGAAAAGGTTTTGTTTACCTTGTTCAATTTGACTTTAGCCAATGCCTTTGGCTCTTGGGGGTTCTTAGATTGAGCCAGGGCCCTCAGCTCTGAGCGAAGTGTCTCACACTTTGATTCTGGTCAAGCTGGTCCCTGACTTGGCTGGCTTTATTGACTGCTGCCAGTTTCTAGAGATGTGTTTAGAGGCCCAAGGGATCATCACTGCCTTCTGCCATCTGTGGCCTCTGGGCTGATCTGAGAATCTGAAGAGGGACAGGTGGCCTGACTGGCATATCATCCAGACATCTCCTGGGGCTGGTCACTACCAGATCTAAACCAGCTGGCAAAGGCTCCAGAGGACTGTCTCTCCCAGGCATGCATTTGTAGTGTACCACAGAAAGAGCCAAGGCTAGATCTTGCCAGGGCAGTGTCTTCAGCCACAGACACAGTGCTGGGCAGCTTTTCCCTTGGTCCAAAGCCCCAGTTGCAACCTCTGCCTGGAGCCCCAGAGGCAGATGCCTGCATTTGTCTTCAAGATTTGTCTTCAAGAATGCCAAATTAGGTGCTTTGCACAGGTCTTGGCATATAGTAGGCAGCCAGGAAATATTTACTGAATGAATGAATGACTAACAGAATGACTATCTACCCTCCCTTAAAGGAGGCCACCTAATGTTACTGACTATACGTGGTGGGCTAAGGACTAGATTCTAGAAACAGAGGAGACAGAAGAAAGTGAGTAAACTTCACCTGCCTCTGTGCAATCTACCCAGATTCCATTCTTTCCCTGCAGAATTCCCAGGAGTCCTCTAGGAACGCTAATGTCAGGGCAAGTGTTGTGACCCAATTTTCCTAACCCTCTGGTGTGAGTGTGGACGAGGAATATCGGCTTCATTTGGGAGTTTGTAAGACATGCCTGCTCTGCAGCCCCACCTCAAACCTCATGAATCAGAATCTGTGCTTGAACAAGATCCAGGTGATTCATGTGTGTTATCATCAGACAATTAGTAAGTGAACACAGGCCCAGAACCCACATGTGACTTATCACCTGACACAGAGGTGAGCTGCTGGACAGCATAGCTAAGTACATCTGGGGCTTCCGCTACCTCAATGACTCAAATTGAGTCAGATATTTTCTGTCTCTCCAGCCCGTGAGTACTGTTGGTAACATAGTAGACATTCTATAAAATTAAATGAATAAATGTTGAATGAATTTCAAGCTATTTTCTCAATTTTGGGTCTGCTCTGTTTCGGACATAAACTGCAAGTTCTTCTAAAGAATTTTTGTACCCCCACTAAGAGCCCCTGGAATATAGCTATTGCTCTAATAAGCAATTGAGTGCAAAAGCAAATGCTTGGTACCAAATGGACATACTCTCGGTGTTTTACAAAGTGTGGTTCAAGATCAAGAACAGGCAGAATGAACAGGTTCTGGCTAAAAATACAACTACCTGGGCCCTTCCCCATACCTTCCCATTGAGAACCTTTGCGAATGAGGCTCTTCTGTACTTGTAATGGCATCAAAGGCACAATACAGAGGAAGAAACTGAGTCACAGAGAGGTTATCTGGCTGGTGCAAAGTCACAGAAGTTGGCGAATGGTGGACACAGGACTCAAACCCAGGACTGAATCTGGAATCCACAGTTTTAACCATTTTGTCCTTTACCCTTAAAAAAGCTGATGTCCCAACTGACTGTATGTATTTAGCCATTATCTATCATCTTGTATGTATTTCAGGTGTCCACAAAGTTTGCTAAATTGTGATCTCTTGAGAAATTCTGGAAGGCAGTGAATGTGTTTTACTTCTCTCAGTATCTGTAGCATCCATTACCATGCCTAGCACCTGGAAGCTATCCAACCAAAGTCCATTGAATTGAATTCCTGCACATACGTGATTCTCCAAATCTATAAACATACATGCAGAGGGTATATCTTTTCAGGAGGCATGTCAGAAGAAACAGCCACAACTGCAAACCTTCCTTTTCTCTCCTGAATGGCTGCACCACCCCATCAACATGGCTCTTCTCAAGATCACCAGTGAGCCCGATGCGGCTGAACTTGATCAATTCTTGGTCTTTATCTTTCCTGGAGCCTTAGCACCTTTGAACACCGGGCTTTCCTCCTCCTTAAATGCTCTTCACTTGGGCTTCCAGAACATTCCTCCTATTTTTCTGGATGCTGCTGCTACATTTTTTTTTTTTTTATTGTGGTAAAAGACACATAGCCATTTTCAGGTGCACATTTCAGTGACATCTAGTACATTCACATGGTTGTGCAACCATCACCACATCCATCTCCAGAACTCTTTCATCTTGTAAAACTGAAACCGTACCCATTAAACGCTAACCTCCCTCCCCCTTCCCCCAGGCTCTGATAACCACCATTCTACTTTCTGTCTGCATGAATTTCATCCCTCTAGACATCTCATAGAAGTGGACTCACAGTATTTGTCTTTTTGTGATTGGCTTAGTTTATTTAGCATATTTATCAAGGTTCCTCCATGTTGTAGCATATTGCAGAATTTTCTTCCTTTTTAATACTGAGTAATATTCCATTCTAGGTATATACCACATTTTATTTATACATTCATCCACCAACAGACACTTAGGTTGACCACAATTTAGCTATTGTGAGTAATACTGCTGATATTTGACCAGGAGCATATAAATATCTCTTCAAGACCCTGCTTTCAATTCTTTTGAGTATATACCCAGAAATAGAAATGCTGGATCATATGGTAATTCTATTTTTAATTTTTTGAGGAACACCCATTTTTTTTTTTACAGTACAGTCATACATATTTTTGATTCATACCAATAGTGCAAAAGGGTTCCAATTTCTCCACATCACATCCTTACCAACATTTTGTTACTTTTTTTTAAATAGTAGTCATCCTAATAGATATGAGCTGGTATCTCCTTATAATTTTGATTTTCATTTCCCTAATGATTAGTAATGTGAAGCCTCTGTTCTTATGCTTATTGCCCATTTGTGTCTCTTCTTTGGAGAAATGTCGGGATGTTGCTCTTTTTTTTTTTTAACAACATCTTGCTGATTCCTCTTCATCTTCAGACCTCTTAACCTTATAGCGCCAAGGACATCTTTATTGAAACTCTTCCCTTTCTACACTTACTTCCTTAGTGATCTCAAACAGCCCTATAGCTTTAAGTACTGTCCGCCTGATGACCACTCTTGAATGGTATCTTCAGCCCAGAACTTGCTTCATTTCTCACTGATGCACTTGGATGTCTAATAAGCATCTCAAGCTTCACATGCTGAGTTTCTTATCCTCCCCCAAAACCTATTCCTTCCTCAATTTCCTCCATCTCAGTTAATAGAAACCCATCTTTCCATTGGTTCAAGGCAAACTCTTATTGTCATCCTTGACTTCTTGTTTTCTCATACCCTGTCATCAAAATGTGTGAGAGATATCTTCATACTCTGTACAAAATCTGGCCCTTCCACGGCCACCACTCCAGTCCAAGTTAACATCATCTTTTACCTGGTTTATTGGAATGACCTCCTAACTGACCTTCCTCAGCCTTGCCCTCTTCAGTTTATTGACAAACTGGCAGCAGAGTGTACCTGTAAAATCCAATCAGATCAGATCTTTTAGCAGAGCTTCTACTGAAAACCTTCCATACTACTCTTAGCAAAAGCCAAATTTCTAACAATGCCTATAAAATCTCAGTCTTATATGTGTACCTGGTAAGCACATTCTTGCCTCAGGGCCTTTGTACTTGCTGGCCTCCATCTAGAAACAGTGATTCTTAACATTTTACTTTGTGCCATGGAGCCCTCTGGCAGTCTGACACCTATGAATGCCTTCTGAGTACAATTTATTTAAATTCATATAAAATAAGTTACATAAATTATAAACAAAACCAATTATATTGAAATACAACTCAAAATATTTTAAAATGCATAATATAATGGCATATAAATTACAAGAGCTAACAGCATAAGTAGTGATGAATGGAATGATATTTTAAGATATTTGCAACAACTGTAATGTGATATGAAAATATCTGATTTATATTAGCAACAGTATCACAGGTGCTGATAATATCACTATGATTTGTTATGTGCATTCATAATTGAAGAATACATTACATTTTAATTAGTGAAAATAAATATGATTTTTTTTTTCTCATCTAAGGTCAATTGCCCCTGAACCTTATCCACAGACCTATGAAGGAGGTGTCTGTGGATCCTGGGTTAAGAGCCTTTGGCTTAGAATGCTCATCCCTCATAAATCCTCACAACTCACTCCCTCTCCTTCTACTCAAAAGTCACCTTCTTGATGACCTCTTCTGAGATGACTTTTTAAAATTGCATCACCACTGGCCTCCACATTCCAGATGTCCCTTTCCTACTTATGTTTTCTCCATAGCATTTACTCACCTTCAAAAATATTTATTTTATTTTTAAAAATTATATAAAAGCTTCACTTATAAGTGAGTTCCAGGAAAGTAGGCATTTTTGTTTTTCATATTGTGTTGTGTCTCCAGCACCTAGAATGGCACCTGGCATATAGAAGACACTCAATAAATATATCTGTTGAAAAAACTGAATGATTACATCTTTAAGAACTCTATGTTTCTTATCCCTTTGTGGAAAAAGTTAATGATTTGTGAGACTTTTAATAAAAGATTAGGAGCTATAATTAGCTTTATTGCTATCATTCTGTTAACATTTCCAAGGTTAACCTTAAACAGCAGCAGAGAACTGTGGGAACATGAGGGCTCTGATGGAGCTTCTGGTCCCAAACAACTCCTTACTGCTAAGGACCTCTTAAGAAATGGGTCTTGCCCAAACTCAGGACCACCTCTGAGGCAGTGTTGCCCTTAAATTTCTTTCTTGCTCAAATAGAAATCAGGCCCCACCCCCAATCAAACAATAATACTAATACTTTTTATTTCTGGCAGTGTGGTAAAATGATAAACACAGAGGTCTCAGGGTCAGCTGGACTAGGTGCCAATTCTGCCACCTCTTACTAGCTATGTGACTGTTGGTAAGTTACTAAACCTTTCTCTACAGGTAAGAGGGGGGTTTTGTGAGGATGAAATGGGATGGCTCCAACAGTGGAAAGCACAGAGCAGGTGCTCTGTAATGGCTATCCCCTCCCTTTTCCAGCTTTCTAGGTTATTTTATAACGGCTCGCAGAGCTCCTTGTGGTCCTGATGGCTAGGAGGAGCCTGACCAGTCCTCTTTGGCCTGTAAACACCTTAAACTAGACCCAACCAGAGCAGTCTCCTTGGACTGTGTACTGTAAACTGATGCCTTGTTATGGCTTTACATGTGTGGCTGAGGCTGCCATCTGGACCTTCACTTTGAAGCCCACCATCTATCACAGTTTTTTCTTTGGTTTTCCCTTTTGCCCACGCTGGGAGGTCTGTCTATACCCTCACATAGAGCAAGGCAGAAATCATTGTCTCCCAGTTTTTTCAGTGTTATGAGCTCACAAGTTTTTCAGTGTTATGAGCTCACCCTTCCAAAAGGCAAGCACTGGGGAAAGTGCTAATGTGCACTGAGCGCCAGGTCCTGCTTTGCACACATAGCACGTGTATATTATATTCAATCATATATGTATATGTGTACACATGGCCTCAAGAATCCTCCAACTTCCCCATTCAGCAGAAAAGGAAGACAACCCAGTGAGATGAATTATCTTGACCACATCATGCAACTTCTCACCTGCAGAGCAAGGATTAGGACCCAGGTATTTGAACTATTTTGTTATGTGTTTCTAGGAACTGTGCTTGGGTTTGGGAAAATCCAACCAACTGATCACTGAGACCTAGCACCAGGTATAACTGAGAGGTGATGCTTAGCCCCCCAGTCTTGCCAGACAAGCCTCCTAGACTTTGTGAATGAAGGTGAAGGAAGAGAAACGTTGCAGTGTCTCCCTTTGAGCTCATATTTCTTTCTGGTTGCAAAAAGTGCTTATTTCAGCATCCATCATCTCCCTCTTTGTTGTGTAGACAGTTCGCCCTGTTGGAGACTTTGTGCTGTTATTATGAGTTTGTTTATTATTAGATTTATTTCTCCTATAAGCAAATGTGTTCACAACATTCCATCGGGGAATCTTCTTAATTGTCACATAAATGTCATCTTATGTAAATTGAATATTTATCTTTCCATGGAAGGGGTGGAGTGGAAAGGAAGAATAAACAACCTTCAGTCTTGGAGAGGGAAGGCTGTTCCTGACCCAGTTCACAACTCACCCACATGTCTTCAAAGCCAAAGGTGAGCAGAAAAAATTATTGGGTCATCTCTGAGGAACAACCAAAAGGGAGAGGGGAGAAAAGTTAGCAATGAGGTTTTGGGGATATTGGGCCAGGTTCACAGGTCTCCCCTAGTAAACCACACAAGAGACCAGACTACCCTCAGCACTGCTGAGGGCATCCAGAGAAGACTGCAGTTTGCCCCCTAAACCTCCCCATCCAGGAGACCAGCCTCACTCCTTCCTCGAGAGAAGGTGAGCACAGCGGGCTCAGCGGGTTGAGTGGGTGTGGCCGGCGGCTCCGGGAACCGACCCAAGAACCGCCACCGCCCGCGATCCGCCCGCCCGCCAGCCCTCCTGGCGAGCGCGAGCTCTTCTTCCAGAAACTGCGAGGATCCGAGCGCACTGTTTGTGCACCACAAGGTCAAGTCGGGAAGTGGAGCCGGAGGAGGAGGGGCGAGGAGGCGAAGGGTGGGGAGAGGGGCGCCCCGCTTCCTCGCCAAGTGCCAGCCCGTGGAAGTTGCCCCTGGGTTTTTAACCCTTTAGGAGGAGTGGGAAGGACGAGCTAGGGGGATGGAGATACCCCGGGGCAAACTCCTACCGCGGCCAAGACGTGCAGCCAGCCAGCCACCCACCCATCACCGCGTTCCTCATCCCCCGGAAATGCGGGGCAGAGCTGGGCGCCAGGAGGCACCCGGGCGGGGGGAGGGGGCGGCGAACTCAGAGACACCCTCTTTAGCGACCGCCCCCCCCTTTCTAGAGGTCGCCCACAATTTCAAGTTTCCCCCGCCTGGGACGTTAGTTTCCATCTGCTGTGGGTGGGGGAGGAGAGCCGCGCCCCCTCCCCCAGACTCGAGCGCGCCCCTCCCCTCTGCTCCTGCCAGCACTTTCTGCTCACTTCTGGCGCTGCAAAACGCCACGCGATATATTCGGTTCGCCTTTTTAAACCACCGATTCAGAAGCAGGGCCTAGGGCGAGGGTCTTCCAGCGCTGGAGCCCCGGGAGGCGGGGTGCTCAGTGCAAGCCTCGTTCCCTCCGCGAGTGTCGCCTCCAGGCTGTTATTTGCAAAGAAACGTCTTTTTGACGCAGGGAGAAATGGCAAATTTTAAGTACGTCATTAATATGGCGCCAAAAGATTTTTTTAAGTGTAAGCCTTTTTTTTTTTTTTTTTAAGGTTGCGGGGGGCGCCGCCCGGGTCTGGGGCGCGAAGGGGGCGGGGTGTGAGCAGAAAGTGTGAGTGAGAGAGTGGAGGGGCGGGGTGTGTGTGTGAGTGTGTGAGTGTGTGAAGTGTGAGCAGACCTGATGGGACTTGCACGGGCGCAGCCGCCGCTCAGCCCCGGCCCAGGGGACTGGGCGGTCTGGGGGCGCCCCAGAGCCTGTGCAGAGTCCCGGCCCGAGGTGCAGGCAGGCGGGCGGCCCGGCAGGACACCCTCACGCCGGGGCCTGCAAGGCTACCTGGACCCGCCGCTGAAGCCAAACAACTGCGGGGGGCGGGGGGGCGGGTGACTGGGGGGTGTCAGGAGTGGAGATCCGAGTGAATAAGAAAAAAGTGGCTACTCCCCCTCCCTCGCTCCTCCCGCCCGCCCCCACCCCACCCCCACCCCAACACATTTTTTTTTTTTCTAAAGAGATCACAAGGAAGTCTTGGTTTAAAAAGAAACAGAAACATACACAGGGGGGTTGGTGAATGGTGCCGACCGCGGCCATCGCAGTTGGAGGCTATTTTTTTGGGGGGGTGCGTAGCGTCCATGGAGTTACTTTGCGCCCACTCCTAGCCGCACGGGCTTGGGTACGACCGGTTAACCGGCCCCGGCAGGGGTGCGGGGCTGGGGAAGCCGCGGGCCCAGCCGCCTCCCTCGCCGCGACCCCGGATGGATGCGCGCCCCCCGCCCGCCCGCGCCGGCCCCAGGAGCTCGGGGTTTCGGGAGCATCCTTCCCGCGCCCGCCCCCTCCGCGGCGCGTAGCCGAGGGCAGCGCCCCTCGAAAGGGCACAGCGGAGCAAGGTAAGATCCAGCCTCCGGCGATGGGCCCTGTGCATCTCCACGGCGCTATTTTGTGTTTTTGCAACAGATCTGCCAGCGCTCCTCGCTCCCTCGCCCTCTCTCGCTCGCTCGCTCGCTCGCTCCCTCTCTCTCCTGCTGGCTGCCTGTTCTAGGAAGCCAGCGCGCGCGGGGGGGGGGGGATGCACAGCACAGGGGAGAGAGATTGCGCATGTTGGTCAGTCGTGTTTTAAAGAGTACATTGCGGGGAGGCTGAGAGGGGCGCATGCAACAACAACTTTTGGAAGGGTGAGCTTGGCGACCTTTTTTATTAATGACTGCGGCAAAGCGCCCCTGGGCCGGCAAGGGGGCGCGGGCGGGCGGGGGCGCGCCGAGGCTGCAACTTGCCCCGCGGGCTCTGGCTGGGCGGAGGGGCTGCGGCGGGAGACCTGTGCCGAGGGAGGTCGCGCGGCTGGGGGCGGGGGCTTGGAAGACCGGCGCTATCTGCCCTCCTGTCGCCCTGAGTTTCATTTTGTTGATACGCAGCACGTCCGGGCGCCGAACCGGGCTGAGCCGGTGCACATGACCCCGCGCTGGGCTCACGTGCAGCCGGTCCGGTCCCAGACACCTTCCGGGGGCCACCGCCTCCGCCCTGTCGCCCCCTCTTCGGGCTGGCTGCACGCGGGCGCTGCACGCGGGGGCAGCATGCTCAGCACCCGGGCGCGGAGGCTCTGCACAATTTAAACAGTTTTTTGGAGGGGCGGGGGACACCCTTTCCAGGTGAGTATGGAGGGTGAGCAGTTCCGGCGCTGGGGGCGCGGGTTGGGGTCGGGGACAGCCCCCCTCTGGGGCTGCGCGGGAGTCCGGCGGGGGAGAAGCGCTGGGAGAGTGGAAATGTACCGGCGGCGGCCGGAGCGGCGGGTGCGCGCCCGCGGGGCGACGGCAGGGGGCGTGGCCCTTGTTTACCTTCTCCCAACTCTGTCGGTTCGCGTCCCGCTCCAGGGACGGTTCCGCAGTCCCCAGCCCTCCGCCTCCGCCTCCGCGCCCTGGGTGGTAGCGGGAAGACGTAGGCTAGTGGCGGGCCTCGCCTGGGACGTACACACCTGACCCCCAAATGAGTGACATTGCAGCCCCCGCCCCCACCGAGCCTCGCTGCAGTCCCTCTGCCGGATCCCCAGCCCCGCCCCGCCCCCGGCAGTGGCATCTTCCCGGCCTCACCTCCTTCCTCCCTCTCTCTTTCCCTCCTCCCCACCCACTCGCCTGCGCCTGCGGAGCGGCTCCTACCCGCCTCCTCCCCGCTGGGTGCAGACTTGTGGCTCCCTCTGGTCCCTTCCCGCCTATCACCGGGCCTCGAGACACTTCTCCAGGCCGAAGGATGAGAGCGGTCAGCTTGGTGATTCGTAGCTGTTGTATCGGAAAATGGGGAAGCCTGTTAGCCAGGCAGGAAGGCTTCATTCTATCTTCCAGAGGCCCAGGACACCTCTCCCCACCCCCCACCACACACCTCCTTGTTCCCACTACGCGCAGCTGCCCACCCGCCAGCGGACTTGGCTGCCCACACCCACATCACCTAAACCCCTCCCCCGTCCCGGGCGTCCTGTCCCCCTCCCGGCGCCGCCCCCGGCCCGGCCCGCCTCTTGCCCTTCCTTCGCCTGGGCCAGAGCCCCCCGCAGCCACCTCCGGCTCCTCCTCCCGGCTCCCGCGGTTGGAATCACGCCGGCGCGCCTCCTTGCTGCGCTCCCGCGGACTGCCTCCGGGGGCAGGCTGGAGGCGCGCGCCACCCTCAGCCCAATCCCCTTGGCTACTGCTGCGGGCCGGGCACTTTTTTTTTTTACCGCCTTGCTCAGGGGTCTTGTACCCCGGTGCGGGGGTGGGCAGGAAGTGCTGCATCTCGCTTTGCGGGTGCCAAGGTTACTCTGCAACCGGCGATTCTGGTCTCTGCATATTTTCAAACCTTGCCCCCGCGCTTAGAACCCTCCTCCCTCATGTCTACTGCGGGATTCTGAGACATAAAGTTTTATATCGGGGCTGAGTTTGCAGGGATCATCAGAAGGCATCATATTTGCTCTCAGACCAGAGCCAAAGGGGATGGGGAGAGGCTGAGCTGGCACAGCTGACCTGCTGCTTTGCCTTTGTTGGAGGAGGGAGGAACCCTCAGCTTTGAGTCCAGGCAAATTATCAGGACTTCCCCTTCAAGTTTTTGTTTGCAGACCGAGTCCTGGCCCTGGTGGTGGTAGGGCAGCCTGGCCCCTCCTCCCAAGGTGGCATTAACTGGTAAAATTCCCAGTAGGACATTTGGCAAAAAGGCAGGGCAGGGAGCTGCCAACCCGGCCTGGCCCTGTTTCCTGGGTTCCCAGGGTGCTGGCTTCTCCCCTACCCTAACTTCCTCTCTCACCTCAGGGCCCCAAGTTAAACACACCATCCCTCCTGTCCCAGCTTCCTCAGGCGGGTTAGGACTCGCAGAGTGATCTAACAAGCAGAGGAGGAAAATAACAACAGAATAACTGTAAGGGGAAGGAATGAGTAATAAAGCAGACAGGGGCAGGGAGGAGGGCTTTCATGTTTAAGAGATGCTATTTGCTTTTTAGGTCACAGGCTGCAAAAACAGGCTTTGATCCGAAGTGGGCAAATAATTTATTGAGAAAGTTTGCATGGTAGGGGAAAAAAGGGATGTTTGTTTGATCTGGAGCCCTCTCAGTTGTCCCAAGTGCTGTTGGCTGTTGTTTAGAGTGGGAAAGCATTTGGTTCCACAGCAAATGCCTCACAGAGGGAAGTCCTCGCCTCAGGCAGCAGGACTTGCTGTAAATGTTGGTTTTGAAACTGTTTGGCCAGGGGTCTCCCCAGCACTTTGAGAGAGGGAGTGTTTCAGGATAGAGTTATTTGGGCTCAGGATGCAGCAAATATTTCCAGAACATTTCCCATCCAACCTGCTTTTCCTTTCCCTAAATTGCCTGGCTACATGGCTAGTAACACTGATCCAAAAGACTGACAGAAAGCACCTCTTAGCTTCCATTGACAGGTGAGGTGGGACTGCTGGTCCCCAC